CACACACACACACACACATATATATATATATCTTATATACACACGCACGGGTTATGCACTAATAATGTGACGAAGGTGCCTAGAATACGAAATTGCGCTGTACGCATCCCTCATAGGAGAAGAATATATGCAACGCGATGGGACAAGGTTGGCGGAGGCGATTTTATTGAGATATAACAAGACCAACGGGTAATATTGATCGTGCGGGGCATGGACACGGCGTAAATGTACATACATACATGAAAAGTCTTACTATTTACATGAACAGCAGAGACATACGTAAAAATTCGCACTACTAGAATGGACAGTACACACATTGATAACGACGCACACTACTTACATAGACAGTACACACATACACAAGATTCACGCCACTTACATGTACGCAGTGGTCAGAGACGCTCCCTAGTAGCATTCTGAGTGTGATGAGTAGTGGAAAAAGGATAAAACATGAGCAACATGGTACCATGGATGTGAGCAGAGGACTGTTGCAATTTCCCTGCGCATAGTACGTGGCATCGACAGTGGATGACGTGACATATAGATACTCTTGACATAAGAGTTAACTGAGAAAGTTAAAGATGAGCATCACCGTACCATGAATGTGAGCATGTTGCAATTACCCTACGCATAACATTGTACGTGGCATAGGCAGTGGATGACGTGACATATAGGTATTCTTGAGATAGAGCTAGCTGAGAAAGACAAAGATGAGCATCACGGTACCATGAACGTGAGCATGTTGCAATTGCCCTACGCATAGCTTTGTAAGTGGCATAGGCAGTGGATGACGTGACATATAGGTATTCTTGAGATAGAGCTAACTGAGAAAGACAAAGATGAGCATCACGGTACCATGAATGTAAGCCGAGGACTGTTGTAATTCTCCTAGGGCGATAAATGACATGTTGAGAAAACTTGGTATGACGATAATCGTAGGATTTGACTTAAGATTCGCACATCCGGAGAGACACCTGACAGTCACGTACTCAATAGACCCGCTATGTAACCCACCATCAAGGAATACTTTGTGCAAGTCCAGCCCAAAACGCAAAACAGGCTGACAGATACAACAGTACAGCTCAGACGGGACTATACACCGACGAACATCACCACAGCCACCTCATATGCGTACAGCTAGAGCACAATGTGTGCGCATGTGCGCTCAGCTGCTCGATTGCTGCGTGACTGATTGCGGCGTGCGTATCCCGACGAGGGTCTACCTTGCTGATACACCGCTACCAACTACATGATCACTGTTGCAAAGTATCTTGGATATTCGCACGAGTACCGTACCAAAGAACACTTGAATTCGTTCCCACAGGTACCAAAGGGCTGATACATCGCTACCATCTACGGCATCACTGTTACAAAGTGTCTTGGCTATTTGCACAAGCACCTTACCAAAGTATACATCTTTTGACATGTACAAAAGAGTGTGTCATCTAGTTTATCAGCTACGTCATATTCTCGGTGGATCAGGGCAATGGTCATTAGTGGAATGAACAAACGAATCGTTAAAAATAAGAGCTCGGTTCTCGGTGGCTAAGGATGTGATGGACATACTTTCTAAAGCCGCTGTTGCCCCGGTTGCCCATAACAACAGTATCCGCATTTAACTTGTCGGCGTATAGCGGGATGAAGCCTCGAGCATCCCCGGATTCCACATATAATTCAGGTTCGTACTGTAAATCAATGAGTTGTGTGCTATTTCACCGGCCTTTGCTCCACGGGGGTTTCCATGACAACACATACTACAAGATTATTGCCAATACTCACGAGATAGATAATCCAAAGGGGCAGCATACGTCAGAGTGTATCCACTCTAACATCAGGGCTGGCGGACATCAAAGCAAATTTTATACATGCGAGTATATGCAAAAGAACGCTGATAGTAGACAATAGGAACGTGTGTGGATATATCACATGCTGCGGGCAGGCAGGACATACACCTATTTGTTCAAAGTCCGCTTAAACTTACTTACTCGTCGAGTTTGCACTAACCACAGAGCTCAAAAACCAAAACATCAAACCCTAAGACATGCCCCTGGTTGTTCAAAGATTCGCTTAAACTTGCTTCGCCTTCGAGTTCGCCCTATTCATTAAACCTAAACTCTAAACACAAAACCCTGAGACATACCCCTAGTTGCTCAAAGTCCTCTTTAACTTGCTTCATCTTCGTGTTCGCCATATCCACCTTCTCTTTCGTACTCTTAGCGCAGTCACCCGGCACCGTCATGACGCCTGTTGTTGGGTTGGCGTAATTCAAAGCGCAGGTTTAAATGTAAGCGTCCTTGAAGTTGTGCAACAGTTATATGTCCTATTAGATTATTTATTTAGAAACTTCGAGAAACAGCAGACGAACGTGTCACATAGATAATTATTTATTATAGTTATTTATTATAACTGACGTTCATCTGTCTCTGTTGACTGTGCGACACTGGGCCGGGGCATATCCTCACTCAGAACCAAGACAGTCGCTCATTGCATATATATTTGAACGTTTACTCACGGCTATATACATTCACAGCACTGTACACTCACGGTGATTTACTGTGCTGAGAGGTGCCCAACTGCGACACAGACGCTCCGTGTCTTAAATGTGACAATGTACGATGCTGGTATAATCATGACCCAAATGCATATACCAGGCGGGGCTTATGGCGTAGGACGTGACTGGCAGGAACACATACGACATATAAGCATATATGCATACGAAGCATCCCACAGGACCAATGGCTAAGGCAATAATTAGCCATAGACAGACAACCTCAACAAAAGAAAAACCAAACAGATGGACACCGCAATGACGCCGCAAAATTATAGACAGCATTGGCATCACACTCCAGTCCGATTCCGGGCCAGGCCCTCCACATGGGAACAATTAAATGCTCAGAAAGGCTTACTAGCAGAGACCTACCGTTGTCATCCATCTCTATATCTGTGTAATCTGGCAGCACCCACAGGACACTGACTTGGTCTCCCACCCTCAGAAAGTTTGTCTTGCTCCATTGGATAGCGTACAAGCTCAGGTCTAGCACCGTGTTCAACGAGGGTTTGAATGAGAAATAGAATAGAAAGTACATATCTCCACACACACACACAAGTATGTATACACATTTATACTAGGTGTACAGGATGACTGCGGGGTTGACTGGAAACTGTAGCAAACCATAACCATTCGTGCAGATGTATAAGCTACTCAAGCGATAGCACAACAATCAGCGGAAAACTCAGTTTGTAGAAGGAATGATAGGGGGTGGTTGCTATAAAAACGTGTGAGAGTACCATAAGACATAAATTACGTTAATTTCCTCCTCTATTTAGTGAACTGTCACGGCCATCTACACATCGCGCTCGTATATATGCCACTATATATCAGATGTGATTGTAATCACATATATAGGTGCATCCTTTATTTGAAGTTCCAATCCCAAATACTTCGCATCCCATACATAGCTACAACTGAACGTAGAGTCGGAAGATCCCAGGATGTAAAACAAGGATTAGGGTAGGTAGGATCACTACAAAAAATATGGAACATGAAGTGTTTGCATATACACATAAGATTTTTAATAAATAAATAAATAAATAAATATAAATATAAATATAAATATAAATATATATATTTATATATATATATACATATACACATACATATATAAACACACACACACATACACACAAACACACACACACACACACACACACACAC